GCGCTCGCCGCACGGGCACGGCGGGAGCCGGCGAGGGACGGAGCCGAGCCGAGCCGGGCGGGGAAGCTCCTGGGAGGGAGCCGTGGAGGGGACCGACGGGCCGCGGCGGGAGCAAAGAACCGGAGCCGCTCTCGTGGGGCTTCGTGTCCCCTTCACCCGGGCAGCGGCAGCGGGGGCTGGGAGTCCGCCCCGATTCTGAGATACGTTTTCACTGGGGGCAGCTAATGCCCTTGAAGGCAGCGAGGATGCGGCGCGGCGGGAAGCTGTTTTCATCAAGTTATGGGAAAGGGAAGGCAAACATTGCCACCTGGCCTGTCGGGAACTGAATGAAAAATGGGAAATGGGTCCACGCATCAATGGGGCAAATATAGCGTGTGGACATGCAACAGTCCATTTCCCCGCAGTCTCACATACATATATTTATAGCATATTAGAGACCGACAGCTTTGGCAGAGTGACTGGCATGTTGCCTAAAGCTCTGGATACAGATCCCGCTGCCTTGTGGGATGCACGGACGCTCCTAGGGATACCTGAAGTCTGCACATTTTCTCCAAAGGTAAATCACTCTGCTGCTAATGAGTACCAAACTGGCGCGATAGAGCTAGCTAGCTGGAATATGTGTGCACGCAGGCCCTCCAAGATATGTTCAGCAGGAAGGCATGTCAGTACGCACTGTGCTAACACAGCGGTGGTACTTAGGCATGCAGTCCTACGGGGTCTTAAAAACACCAGGTGGACAGCAATAAAAAAAGAGCACCAGGGCCCCTCGAGATATTGTGGTCATACAATATGCATACAAATATACATACATGCCTCCATGCATACCTACATACATACATACATACATACATATATATATATGCATACAAATATACATACATGCCTCCATGCATACATACATACATATATATATATGCATACAAATATACATACATGCCTCTATGCATGTATGTACATTGCAAGTGCCCAAGCAAATAAATGTAAGCTATAATATTCCCCCATGGATTTCCAGTTGCAACCCACATGGGTTACTGCCAAGAATCCTGAAAAATCTGAAGTTTCAATATCAGCCCAGACGTTTATGAAGATAAATGCTCTCATGTAATTAAGGGGCTGGAGTGACCTTATTTTTATGTCCATTGGCACAAAACACAAATGCCTAGTCATCTCTAAACTATGGCGCAGGAGGATGCATAAGCTACTGTAGAGAGCAGGTAAAGAGAAATATATAATAATGAAAGCAGAACATGGGTACTGGTCGAAACAAGTGCAAAGTCGCTGAATAACTCCAGGTCTGGACTGCAGCCAGGAGGAAGTTGCTAGAGGATCCCAACAAAAACAAGACGGTGACTACCTGATTCTTGTCTCTCACCAGTTTCCCCTCCGTGCAGCTGCTCCTTAATTACACAGGCCCCAATAGCAAACCGGGTTTGCAGGATACAGAAATCCATTCTCCACCTGTGCACTTCATGACACTGATCTCCCAATTGCTTGCATCAGAAGTAAACCCACTGAAGCCAGCAGACTTATCATTATGTAGAAATGGTGTAGGAGGCGGGTGAGCCTGCGTGGGGCTTTGTTGGCATTTCAGAAGGCTTCAAAGTAGCTCTGTGTGCACCGCATTGGTAATACCTACGCTCAAGCCCATGAGAAATTAGAGAAACTGTGAAGTTGGTCCAATTTGTGCTGGTGGCCAGGTGTGGGAGAGCTGAAGATGGAGTGACTCGCTTGGTCCTGCACCCCGTTACCCTGTGGAGGTGACAACACCCCAGTAATTCAACTTTTCTCCTTTGCGTAGGAGGATGACAGTTCTTCTCATCATGGGTTCAGATCTCAGAACATGCTATTCCCACTTCGCTGCTTCCCTAGGACATTTCCCTATTGCTCTATACACCCCATGCTAGCTTACCAGCATGCACACAGGCATAACTTGCCCAATACCGTATCAGTGACATGTATTTAAAAAGTATTTCTCTTTTGCTAGTGCTTTATTCATTCAACTTTGTTGCATTTAGCAGAACTCATGATATGTTCCACCTACAGCTGGTTGCTTTTGAAGCATGCGAGCAGACAGTGTTGCTGCTGAATTTCTGTTTCTTCATCCCAGGTTTGCCTCTGGCTCACCAGGGGATTTTGAACAGTTCATTGGTTTCTCTATTAGCATGCTGCTTGCCTGCATCATAGTGGTTTAATTACGCCTGGTCTCATGCCAACTTGCACTGGGTTAGTAAAATTGGGGCAAGCTCCCTGATGGGATGCTTTTTCATTTGGTTGAGAAATGATTGAGTGTAAACGAGTAAAGAATTAATCTAAAGATTGTGGATGAAATCCTAATCCTGTTAAAACCAGTGACAGAATTCCCATTGACTTCAGTGCAAAGTGCTTTGAGAACTGCCCCTGGAAGGAGCTGTTGAGATAAGTGCTACGTACTATTATTAACATTTCCTTTTACCATCGTGCTGTGACCCATGTCTTCTGTTAAACACCGCAGGAGTCGCATGGAGTTCTGTGTGTGTATGTACGAGAGAGATTCAGTATCTTATCAGGAGAAAGTGAATAGTTTAGGTTTAAATGATGTCATTCTCCAAAGTTACATTGACAGGGAAAAACCTCTGGTGTGTCAGTTCCTTACCGGAGAAAAACCCTCTAACGCACAGCAAAGCAATTAAAACCAGATCTGAATCACCATCATTTTCCAACTCGGTGAACAAGGTTTGTTGCTCCCTCTGCTGGCTGATCTAACACCCCCCCATTTCCAGAGCTCTTCCATCACCGCAGACAGAAGAATATTTTTGGCCTGACTCTCTATCCTCGCAATATAGATCAGAATCAAATTCACGGTGTCAATGGACTGACATCAATAACAGCTCTAGCCTGAGATCAGAAATGGACCCTATATATAGCCTTGAAAGATTATGCACAGAAGCTGCGAAGTATTCACAAACTATTCACCTTTGAATAATTACAAGCATCAGAGAATAAACCATTTACAGTGTTTTAAGCATTTTTTGATTATTTCAAATGGAGGACATGTATGTTCTGTGGCTTTGACTGAACACACATTGAGGTCTACTTTCATAAACATACACCAACCAAACGCTTTACATGCCCTCCTTGTTTTCTCAGCATCTCATGGACTCTGCTGGACAGAAATGCCTTAGCTGGAATAAAAAGGTCACTCAGTGCAGAAAAATTTTTAATTTAAAGTTCATGGATTTAAGACCAAAAAAGTCCACATCTTTTTGACAGTAACTGTGATTGAAAGACTGATTCTCAGAAATGCTCTGCTGTTGGACTGAGCAGGGACTAATGTGAATAAGCAATTGATGGTGTGTCAGAGAAGTACTGGACCAAATGCATCCCTGGAGAGATTCTGTTGAAAGGAATGGACTCACACCAGGGTGAATTTGACTTAATCTCTTTAAAAAAAGACTCAGTGAATATATACTGCAGAGATGTATTAAACTTGCAAGTAGTTTTCAATAGAAATCAGTGGTATGTCTCTACTGTGTAGCAGAAGTATCCAGGAAAGATTTTCCAGTGATACCAGAACTGGGTAGTGTATCTCAATAAACCCATCCCAGCCAAACCAGTACTATTTTCAATGTGGTTGGATTTTCCAGGGGAAAGAAGTGCATTTCTAACCACAGCAGACTTGGTCATATTGGAAAGGACAAACAGGCGGCAAACAGGGTGGTTTCCTACCCCTGCATGTGTCCCTTTTGTTCATTCATGCATGTGTATCTATGATCTTTGAGAGGAAGGTGAGCCTGGTGCCTATGCGAAAAGAAAAGAGGTTGGCTTCAAGGGATGATGTGTCATGAGGGCTTGAGCATATGCATTACAAATATGATGCACATGGGAGTATTATGAAGCCTTCTGAAATGTCAGCAAAGTCCCATGCTGGCTCAATCCACCTGTACTACACCTGTACTGTATCCTTTGCACAAGGATAATTCTGCTGGCTTACAACTTGCAGGGCCTGTTAACTTCCAGGATCATTATAGGAATGCTCTACCTTAAGCAAAATGTTCTAGCCACTCCCTTGGAGTTGCATCAGTCCCTACAGTCATCCTGTTTCAGTAGAAATATAGAAGGATGCATCTGCACCTGGACCTCCTCTCACCTACGGTGAAAGCAGGCTCAGGTTTGCTGAGGGTTGGTTTGC